ATTAGTGTAATGTTATGGAATTATATTTATAAATATTAATCTTTTTATCAAGCATGCAGTCCATGATGTTCTTACAAAATATGTACTTTTAGTTTTTATAATTAACTAAAGTAAAATATTATTAATTTGAAAAATATATGTCAATTATTTTTACAATATTAGTTAGAAATATATGGTTAGTAATTAATATATTTTCAATAAACAATATTATCTTAAGTGTAAAATTTAATATCATTTATAAAGACATATATTTTTAAATCTTAAATTGTAAGTTTTAATAATTAGCTTTATATTTAAAATTTAATCAAACTGTATAATTACACTTGTGCAACCAAACAGTACACTTGTAATTACACTAGTAATTACAGTGTAATTATACTATGACAAACAAACAAACAGGTCGTCGTAATTACAATACTCTGTAATTACTAGGTTGTGTAATTACAACTCTAGTAATTACACCAATTCTAATTACCTGGTGGCTTTCCGAATAGGTAGGATTTTGTGCGAGTAATATTGATCTATTATCGCAATTTGACTTGTAAACGCGTATGAGCGTAGAGTTGCTATCCCCAAATTCATCTTTACTTGAATCATCTTAAACATTGTCAAAAAGATATACACATCAATTTTAATAAAATATTAGTTACATATATATAATTAATTTTCTCGGCAAACAATATGGAAATTGGAACGGCACCAATTCGGTGTATCTCGGCCCCAGTCGAAACAAGTAATAGTGGGCGAACCTCAAACCAAAACGAATGCAAGGAAAATGTAAATATACAGTAGATAATATCTGTTTGATTTAATTGTCTTAAATTCTAAATACGCATCTCTCCCAAAATTCGATGATTCCCTCACCACTCTCGTTGGCTGGACGGGGTGATGGAGATATGCTATTTAACGTTACAACTTAACAACCACCAAGCTTGTTGAACCTTAATTTGGTTTCTCTTTCCTTGTTTGTGAAATCAAAAATAACTAGTTGATCAGCCTAAATATCTACTCCCTTCGTCCCACTTTATGCAATGCGATTAGAAGTAGGAAAGTGTCAAACTATGTAATTTTTGGTGTGAATTCGAGCATGGAATCTTCACGTGTTTTAAAATTTATAAATTTAAAAATAACATAAAAAATATTATAAATCATAATAATTAAGGCATATGAAAAAATCATACTCTCTTGACTCTCCAAATAGTAATTGTCACATAAAATGGGATAGAGGAAATAATAAATTCGAAGCAATAATAGGATATTACCCATCTCTAGCTAGGACATATTGACACAAAAAGGCAATATACTACTACTCTATAATATTTTGGTAACTGTGCATATATTAATGATTAAACTTTCATAAGTAGCAAGTGAAGCTTTAGTTGTTTTTGTGCATGGCGAATCTGGGCAGGTAGACATGTTTTCCATGGTTATGATTGCTCATAGCGCATAATTTACAACGCGT